ATATATATATATATATATTTAACAAGAGATGCGCGAAATTTGAGATTTTTAGGAACTTTCAGTGGGTGAAAATGGCATCTTCAGGGGGTGGGGAAAGATTTTCCACAGATGGATATTTTCTTCTTGTCCCGGTGGTTATAGTTCAATTCAATTTTATTCATCAAAGAAATGTTAAAATACCAATAAACTATATAGGCCAAATATAGTAAAAGAGCGCGAAAGAAAAAAAAACACTATAATAATAATAATAATAACAATGGTAACAAAATGGCTGTCATAGTGATCTCTGATGAAATAATTCACATCAAAAATTGAATTCTGTGAGCTTAAGTATGATTCTGCTGTAAAACACAACCATTTACGAATTAAGATATTCTACATATTTAACATAAAATGACAATGAATGACCTTAAATGACCGTCTTATTATCTTGACCATCTGACCATGTCACAAATGGCATAAATTCTTGAGAGTTAATTTATAATTTCAGACTTTAGAATTCAAATTTTAAGTGGTTTAAAAGCTGACATGTTGATAAATATAGGTTTTGCGTGGCAGCCATTTTGAAATCCAAAATGGCCACCAAAATGACCTTGAATGAAATACTATAGTTCATATAGTAAACCAAATTCTGAGAGCCTGGTTTTGATTATAAGGTAAAACAAGGCAGTTATGTAATTTTAAAGATATACATTATATGACCAGAAATAACCTTGAATGATCCTAAATGACCTATTGGTGACAATTTGACCAGGTAAAAAATGGTGATAGTATTCCATATTTTTAGAAGTTAGAATTATAATTCCAATGTGTTTAGAAGTAGAGATATAGATAAACGGACGTTTTATAAGATGGACATTTTTAAATCCAAGATGACCATCATAATGACCTCAAATGAGGTGGCTCCTACCTAAAATTGAATGCTATGACCATAAGGAACATGTAAAAAAAATGGTGCGTTTGTCCGGAACGTCCACATTCAGTCCAAATATGGCCTTAAGCCGTACTATTATCATCAATTATTGTTATTATTAGGCCTATTATTGGCATTATAATTACATTATTACTATTATTATTATCATTATTATTATTATTATTATTATTATTATTATTATTATTTCGTAACAGCGCCACTTTTAATCATTAATGAGATTCTTGAATTGTATCTTAAACACGCAACCCAGTGGCAGCGATGACCATAGGTCTGTAACAACTTTCATTATTAAAACATGTTTTGAAAGTGCCTATATTACATTTTAACAGGCACAGCACAAACGATATTCGACAGAATCAAATCTCCAGAACCATTAACAGCTGGTAAGTCAGCAACTATATATTTTATATCAATTACGTATACATTCATACACATTGTTCAATTATCGTCTATATTTTTACACTGTCGTTTTGTGGGACCTTAACAATAATGTCTCACACATACGCAGGATTACCAAAATAGGTGGGGCTTAGCGGAAAAGTCCAATACTGGTCAGAGTAATGCAGGATTAGGACGATTCTAGACGAGTTCTTTGTATTATTACTATCCTTGTATTCGTACAAAAATAATATATTAATAATAAGTCCATAGCCTACGTAACTTGGAGTGGAGTTGAATATATCAGTGGTTATAAGATGCTTGCCTTCTGACCCCAGGGTCCTGCGTTCAATTCCTGTCACAGCAGGACTTTCTCTCACGACCAAAACCAACTCCACTCCCTAAGCCTCATAAACAGACTTAGTTTATAAAGCATCATTCTCATCCTGTGAGTGGCGAGTGTACTTGCTGTTGGATGTGAATAAAAAAAAAAAACAAAAACAAAACAAATGCGCACAAGATTCGTTATTTCGAAAATGGGATATTACGTACCTGATTATGCTAATCAATTCTCAAATTATATGGAATATTTCTTGATGCAAGGTCGGTGAACCTATAATATATCTCAAATACTTATTTTCTAATTTTGCAACATGTTGTGTTGGCCCACCATCTACAGCAGGCTCTCCAATTCCGCCAGTTAATAACACAGGTAAGACTTTAAAATCATTTTCATCATATTCAATGCCATTGTCCGGTTGCCCTTATTTTCATTATCTCATCAAAATCAGCATCTTGTTATCATTATCATCATCATCATCATCATCATAAAACTTACAATTGTAATCTATATGCTTGATAAATGTTAACCAGTTGAATAACAAATAAAAATAATAAAAACCTCAATTACTTTTGATAAATAATTGTGTTTAAAATTTGTTTAATTCTAGTCACTGATATCAAGGAGATGCTGCCTACACTACACTACTTGCCTACTACAAGTTACCATGAAAAAGGTACAGAAAATTTACAGACAGTAATGTAATAAATTTAAGATATGATGTTTGAATGAACCCAACAGTCTCATTACTTGTTATACGATTCTTCTAAAGTGCTTATCTTGTTGTTACAAACCCCTACTCTCCATCAGGGGCAGAATTAGGGGGGCAGGCCAACCCCCCTTTTGGAAGGTAAAACAAAATAAAAAAAAAAGATAAAAATATCAATTACTTTTGATTAATAACTATGTTTAAAATTCCTCTTAATTCTAGTTACTGATATAAAGCAGACACTGCCTACACTACACTACTTGCCTACTGCAAGTTACCATGAAAAAGGTACAGAAAATTTACAGACAGTAATGTAATAAGTTTTAGATATGATGTTTGAATCAACCCAACAGTCTCATTACATGTTATATGATTCTTCTAGAGTGCTTATCTTGTTGTCACAAACCCCTACTCTCCTACACATAAATTTCACGGGGGCACGCCCCCGGATCACCTAGGGTAGTATTATCTCGATCGGCCCCACTTTCTGTTCCCCCCTTTTGGACATCTATGGATCCGCCCCTGTCCACGTCATTAACATTGGGTTTCTCATCCGAGCAAAGCTTACACCAAATGAAACCGACAAATGAAACTGAAACAGAGTGTACCAGTACGTACTATATTGAGTCATGATCAAAAGTTAATCATTGGCAATACAGATCAATCAATCAATCTATTAATCAATCGAACAATCTATTGACAAAACGATCAATATTTCAGTACATTGATAAATTTTTCAATCGATCAAATTAATAAATCAGTAAATAATTTGATCGATTGTAATCAATTGATCATTCAATCTATCATACATCCATTCATGATATCCTTTGTAAAAATAAGTACAGTAACAATAGAGTACTACAGTGTTACGTTATGATACCACGTGATACTACTCCGTTGCTATGGTTGCAAAATGCGTTCAACCGGACGCCATTTTCTCCACTGACAACCATTGATCCCAATTTCTAACGTAATTATTAAGATTTTGTATCTTAGTTTTTCTTTGTAAATTTTAATTGATGATTAATTGTGTTTGATAACTAATATAATGTGAGATTTTGTGTTTTTAGTACATTTTTATGGTAAAATATTAGATTTTAAAATGCCTATTCCAGAAAGCCTATGAAGTCCTTCAGACGTAATTAACAGTAACCAACGTCTGGTTGGCAACGGAGGGCGCCACCTGGCGTTGACGACATGACTGTGGTACTCTATACTAAACGAATAAATTTGAAAAAAAAAAACAATTAAAAAATGATTGCTTTTTATATTTTTAGCAAAATATTAGCTTTCAATTAAAATCAAATCCCCATCTACACCCCTACCCAACCATAATGAAAAATTACAATATACTTTATTCTGTTACAATGTCTCTCTTATTCGATTTTGATGTACAGTAATTGTATTTTAAAATAAAGATATACAATATATGACCGGAAATAACCTTGAATGATCCTAAATTACCTATTTGTGACAATTTGACCTGGTAAAAAATGGTGATAGTATTCCATATTTTTAGATGTTAGAATTATAA